ATAGTCAAATACAAGGTAGACTGCAATAGACATTTCTTGATTTTTGGCGGTCAGTGGAGCGAGCATGTTTCTAGCTGCAACCTCATCGGTAAGGCGCCACTTGAAGTGGGCTGTCCTGTGCGAGCAAAGAAGGCATCCTACCATGGTCCTCCATTTGTCATGGCTAAAAGTAGTGGCGTCCTCATCCCTTCGACTACCATTCCAATCCGCTGATACCAACTGGAAATAAGGCCACGACCCAATCACGATACAGGCACATGTAGACGCCTGATGATGAATAGTATAGAATACGCGTCTTTTAAAACTGACCTCTTTAGAAACGGGGATTTCTGCAGGATTAAAACCAAACTCCATGGTGTCTGCAGGCTTCGGACCAGAGGAAGCCACTGTCAGACCGGTCCACAGATCTTACTGCACTCCGAATTCCAGTTCTTCACTCAGAGTTCGGGTAGCGGGTAAAATTCATCAAACTTCCGTATTTGCGATTTAACATTTGTAGTATTTAGTTCCTTCCCTCGTTAATCGATCCAGAACAGCGTCTACCAATGACAGTTAATATACCAAAGTTGGTGACTCCAACTGTCTGGGGAAGTACCAACAATTTGTGCGCGAACCGGCCTTAGTAAGGCGGAGTTTCACTAGAGCAGCCTATCCCACAGTCTCTTTCACATGCACAATTTTTTTGCGAGGACAAAGTGGTGAGGATTGAAGGTGAGTGTGGGCAAAGTACCTAACGAAGTCGAAATGGCATCTGAAGGCGCAACACGCATGCCTTTCTTCAAAGCTGAATTTAAGAAAAGGGTTTCGCATGGTTCCTTGAAGAGATTTGTCATAAAGACTCAGTCCCCTCATCTGACCGGCTCAGACCAGTCCGTGTGACACAGAAGAGGGGAGAAGAAATGAGGCCAACGGTAAGTCGACGTATTCCTCGTTATAATAAATCTTATGGGCTTTTAACTTGAATGAGTGCCAACTGACGGGATAAATCTGTCCTCCCTCGAAATATGGACGAGATGACAATAACTGCACCTTGGTTTGACCTTCATGGTGCTCTCGCTCATGTGAGATTATAGACCCCAATGTTTCTTCGAACTCCTGTTAGTTTAAAGTCAGGTATCAGGTCATGTTTAGTATACTGTTTGGATTTTTCAGTGACTGAGTCCAGGTGCATCAGTAGTTGTCTTGCGTTTGTCTTGCCATTTGAATACGATGGGTTTGGGAGTAGATATCGGGAGAAAGTGTCGCGTAATTTATGTAATTATTAGTAAATTAGTGTGCGAGTCGCCTGCGATTGCCTTGTGGGATAGTGGTTGGCGTCGTCACATGCGTGGGTAGACCGTGTGTTTTTAATTTCATATTCGATCAGTTTGTAAACGAAGTTTTTTGTCCATGCCTTTATTAGGCATTCTAAGTCAGCAGTCTGTCCCCCGCCCACGAAAGCAGGCGCATAAAAGGAATATCGAAAATGCAAATCTATTTTATTGGGATTATTAAACAGCGTACCTAAGGATGCAAGAAACGGGAGCCGCTCCGACTTGCGTGGTGTCTACCGCACTCTCTCCTCTCTCACCAGCCGGGCTTCGGTGGCAAGACAGTGTCAAAGCGACCGGTGGTGGGTAAGCTGTGTTACCTGCACATACGGATCTACTCCACAACGCGTGAGTACACTACATCCCCAAGCGAGGCATCATGCATCACTCTTGCGGCATGCATGCGATTCATTTTGATAGCCTCGACGTGACGAGGGAAATGTCCCATTTGGACACATGCCCATATCGCATGCAGGGGAAGCATGTCATTCTGTGTGCACTGATCCTTGAATTCGGAGACTGGTCTTGTAAGACACGCTTAGACTAGTGGTACAGATTTGTCATCCATTGCGTCCAATCTTATCCTATTTTGCTTTATTAAAGACCCTTGGGGGTCCAATCATGGCCCGTAAAGTTGTGTCTGGTGATGCCAATATTCGCAGTGGCTGCCGTGACAAACGAGTCCTTATCTACACAGACCGTACTCGTGCTGGTTCCCAAGAGTCGGCCCTCAATGTAGAGAGTCCAGCTCCTTTATTGAGGACGGTCACGGAACTGATGCAGTGCGGCCTGGGTCCAAGCCCCGCCTGCCAAAAACCTTCCAAACCGTGATTTCTGCTTTGTCACGATATGCTAAAGCACAAATACTTTCTAATATAGTAGAAATATGGGGAAGACCGACATAGAGTTCACCTAATACTTACTTGTTCAAGTGGCGGATCCGTGTTAAGTCGACTGGTGATGATGAAAATGGGCACAATCACTAGGATGATTTAAGGCCTCTGTATGATACGCACCATACACCTGCATGACCATATCTCAAATCCAATGAAACTGCACTCCGCACTTTGAGAGCCAAATTCGTAAATAGTACACTTCAGTCACTCGTCCGACGGATGTGTATAATAAAACAGAAATTGCCGTATGTGTGTGCGCCCAAAAAAGGGTCACGCGATAAATGTCCTGGACCAGCACGCGGAGTAGATCGGAGTCTGGCAGGCGTTATTGGGAATGCGCACCCATTATGAATGCCAACAATGGCGGTGCGGCGGCAGATCCACCTGCAGGCTCACGGCGTCCTGATTGGGGTCCAAGCCGCCCCTCCCTCATGTGATATAAAATCTTGGTCAGTATATTTAGTGTACCAAGGAGTGTGGTAGTACGCCTGGGTGCGGGGTTTCGCCCTGCCATCCACATGCGTCCTCTCCCGCCTCTAGTCCTCCTAACCCTGTCCTGACACCGGGCGCAAGTTGGCGGGGGGAAGTGAGGGTGCGTTCGGTGCAGAGCAGCTCGACCATCACTTCAAACTAACCCAGACTAAAGTCACCGTCCCTGCTCTTAGCCTACTGCGGGGCATAGGGTGGACATCGTTGGCAACGATGACCGAACTGTCGTTGGCGTCAGGATGCCTGGATGTTTCTCAAGGCCGAGGAGATCCAGGGGTGTTCTGACGCAGTGAAACAAATAGTTTCATCGCAGCAATCAGGACGATCTACGGCTCCATAACCAGTAGAACCGCGCCGTTTCTCAGCTCCGATTGAACAACGCTTTTGACAAAGAGATCACAGATCCTGAAGCACTAGGTTGGGCACCTTGGAAGCGTTCTCAACCGCCCATTTAAATATCCGGCGCCGTCATCAACTGACTCCGCCAGATGAGGACGAACGACGACTTGAATCCCCGGTCTTCTCTTCTAGAAACAAAAAGAGTCGTGCGCTAAGATTCCAGCGGGAAAGCACAGGGATCGGATGCTATTCCGGCCGAAGTCTACAAGCACGGCGGGTTCTCGTTGGTGGATCATGTCACAGCGCTCCTGTAGATGTGGCGCCAAGGACAGGTACCTCAGGATTTCAAAGACTCTACCTGTAAAGGGAATCGGCAACTCTGTGATAACCTTAGAGGCATCCAGCTGCTAAACATCCTCAGGAAGATCTTCGCAAGCCCTCATCCCAATCGTCCCAGCAGCCACCTAGATTAAGGACGTCTTCCACAAAGTCGCTATTGCTTCGGACGTAACTGCAGAACCGTTGACATTATGTTCGCTGCCCGTCAATTGGAAGAGAAATGTCTGGAAATGCGGACCCAGCTCAACACTAAACTTATGGATCTGACGCAAGTTTTCAACACAATGCATCGCGATGGACTCCGGAAAATCATGCAGAAAATCGGATGCCGTGAGCGATTCAAAGACATGGTGCGCCAGTTCTACGAGGGGATGATGGTGCGCATCACGGAAAACGGAACCGTCACAGAAGCATTTGCAGTAACCAGCGGAGTGAAAATGGGCCGCATACTCCCCTTAATTCTCTTCCACCTCGTTCTCTTTCATGCTGGTGGACGCCTACAGTGATGAGCGTCCCGGGATCGGCATCGCCTACAGGACCGACGGCCATCTTCTCAACAGAAGGTGCCTACAGATCTCACCGCGTATCTCTCCAATTATTGTCCACGCCCTGCTCTGCGCGGACAACTGCGCACTCGACACGGTGTCAGAAACTGACATGCAAGCGAGCATGGACCTTTTCGCCCCCGGCTGTGTCAAATTCGGACTGACTACCAATATGGACAAAACGGTGATCATGCACCAGCCTCCATCAAACGCCGCATACAGCGTTCCCCGCATCCACGTCAACCTCACCCAACTGGGGGCCATGGACAACTTCACCTACTTAGGCAGCAGGCTCTCATCAAAATTAATGACGAAGTGGCCCGCCGGATCTTCAAAGGCAGCCCAGCCTTCCACCGGCTGCAGAACTCCTTATAGAATCCCCCAGTCTCCACCTAAACACCAAACTGGAGATGTACAAAGCTATCTTTTTGACTAAGCTGTTCGATGATGTGAAGACATGGACAGTCTACAGGAAAAAAGCTCGAAAACTCAATTACTTCCACCTCAGTTTTCTCCGCCGGATACTAAGGCCGAGGTGTTAGGACAGGATCTGAAACACAGGAGTCTTGGGACGGACTGAAATCCTCAGCAGCCACGCCATGCTGAGGCAACTGCAACTATGCTGAAGCGGTCAGTTCGTGAGGATGGACGAGGGGAACATGCCAAAACAACTCTTCTACAAAGATGTCATCAGGGGTGCTCGCCGATAAGGTCAAACTCACCACTACAAGGATACCCTGCAGAATTCCATAGAGCAGCGGCAAATCAACTTGACGACTTGGGAAGACCACGCGCAGGAACGAACGGCCTGAAGAAGAGCAGTGAAGGCCTGAAAAATCATCTATGAAACTAACCGAATTGTCGCTAACGAAGCCAGAAGAGAAGCTCGTGATTCCCAGGCGTCCCTGACCCACAATGCTACCCCCCAATCCCTCCAAAAATGCTCGCGTTCTCAATGAACATTCCGCGCGTGGAGCGGTTTCGGACATCTCCGGACTAAATGCAGCTACAGCCCGACAACCCCAACTGCCGCCTCCCCGACTAGCTCTGTCGCAACCTCCACGGCGTCCACGACGACGACGATGACCGCCGATGCTCAGCAGCCCCACGCCCAACCGCAGTCAATCGCCGCCATTTCCATCATCATTAACACAAACTCCACGACGACGACGACCACCACCACCATCACCACAGCTCCCATTCTCGCCACTGACCAAAACCCTCCCGACGGCCCACCAACTACTGCGCTCACCACCACCTTGAGAGGTGTGGGATCAGTCCTAACCTGCCGTAATCGTGATGACACATTCGCCTCACCTAACGACCTAATCGGTCACTTGCGAACGCATCGCACTGCGAAAGGCACATCAGTGCCAGGACCCCCCACACACATTCCCCGTATCCGCCTCCACTGTCCACGCACATTCATACGCCGCATGGGCCTATGCGGTCACATGCGTATCCATAACGGCGGAATTCGTTGTTGTATTGATGCACGTACCACATCTTGCACGCCCACAAACCCACCCCCCTATCCCCAGCTTAATCAACTCCTCAACGATCAGCGCACCCATCACTAGCAACATCTAAACGACAACCAAACCAACACCCCCCAATGCATTCTGCCTACAGTATCACCGCACATGCACGTCGCCCATCGGCCCGGTAGGTCGCTTGCGAATCCATCTCACAGAGGTCGGCAAGCCAGCGCCTGGAGCACCAACATACACCAGACGCCATCGCAGACTCAGTCATCGCATAGGCCTATCTACTCACGTTTGGCGTCATGAAAATCGGAAGCGGATCACCACAGAATTGACCACATCACACCAGAGAAGACTCATCCTCGAGAATGTCGTTGCTCAACGTATAACAGGGCAATATGTGATTATGTAGCCACACCTGATGGACACAATAACGTTGACCTACTCCCTATTTTGCGTTGGCGCGATTGCGTTGGCATGGTATTGCTGTCCGTTTCAGTGTGTGTGCTGTTGACATCCTTCTTTCTTTGTTGCTGTGTCTACCTTTTTCGATCCAATGACGGTGGTCCTTCTTGACTTACTGCCTGTCGTTTCCTTCTAACTTTCCCGTTGGATGCGTCAGGGTTAGGGCTGCGGTTAAGGGTTGGGGGGTTAGAGTTAGGGGCTACGATTAGGGCAAGTATTTCTCAACCACTCAAACTACAATCTAGAATTCCCAATAGCTTCTCTTTTGCATACAGTTACTTAGCCTCGTCGCTTGTGCGTTCTTCGGTCCCACCTGAAAAATCCTTATCACCACCGGTCCCGTATTACAGGCAGCTGGGGTTTGCTTATCTCAGGTGCGGCTACATAACCAAATCTGACCGAAAGCTGAATGAAGGCACCTTCTTTACGACCACTGGCAAATAGTGGACTATGTGTTGATTGGAAAGAGAGAATTCGTGAGGTATGGGTGGGACATATAAGGGGTGTTGCTGAATTACCAGCTGGCCACCACCAAACGCCTCACCAGATGAAGCTTCGGGTAAAAGCACAAAGATGCTTTCAAAGCAGGTGGACGCATAGGAGTACGAACGTGGCCCTTACGTGTAAGTCAGGAAGCGAACATCTTGCTTCACATTTGGAGCACAAGTTGGAGCAAATACAACCCAGGCGTTAATCGGACTTTGAGGAAGACTCGACAGCGCTGCACAGCAACACCACTTCGCTGTCCCTCGGTCGATACAACACGAAGCAAGAGGATAGGTTTAAAGGACAAACTAGAGATTCTCCAGTGAGAAGAGTTATTTTCATCAAACCTGTTGAAAAGAGAGACGCGCGGGCAAAGTCGTTCTGATAAAGCGCAAATGTTTAATTTGGTAGAAGCATTTGGACCGACGACGCTGGGGAAATTGAATAACGTGCTGATCGCCGTGGACTAAATAAGTTTATGCCGAAGAAAGGGGTTGAGGACTCACAATTGACTGCAGTCGCACTGCTGTTCTGACCAAAGCTGAGCATCTTTTTGGAGTCGTCGCTTTCCTGACGTAAATATGCGAACAGAAAAAGGACAAGTTGTGGTGGCCTAGAGGTAACGTCTACCATGGGCTATGACTGCCTCGGGAGGAAATGCTAAGAACAGACCACTAGCTCCCAGATGGAGAAGCTTCGCCCGTCGGCGCAAGGCTTACACGCGTAGTGCTTCGTGAATACTGGGAGACTCAAACCGACTGTTTCACATTTGGAATGGAAAATTAATTTCACGGAGCTTCGGACACCGATATTGCTCATATTCCAAGCATAAATGTATTCCACCTGGCAGCGACAACCTCAGAGGGAACTACCGGAAGTACTGCAAAGCCTTCTCATGCAAACGATAGGAGGATCCTACACAAAGCGTACGACTGTGCATATGATCTTAGTCGCCTGGCAGCCGTAGGTAAAGACTATGACTTTGAATCAGATTCGTTACATCCGTCCAACCCTAAGACTATGAACAGAGAAAAAGGAGATCAGCTCTGGGATCTAACGGAAAAGCCAGACCGCCATGGGGAATTCACGTGCGCCGTGAGACGACTTCACAAAGGCATGGTGGTTCGACGTCAAAACATCGAAGTCCTGTTGGCGCTCCCACTGCAACCGATGGGGTAAAAAAGGCCGCGTGATCGTTCTACATCTCTTTAGCCCCCCGGTTCATCGTAATTGTGGCGCATTTACGTAAGGACGAAGACCCTGTTCCTGGCACAAAACATCCTACCGATGCCAGTTATTTAGTCTACGGGAAATCTAGGTTACATCGTTCGTGAGAAGAAATAAGACCAGACACCGCTTCAGTACTGACAGCGAAAAGTTGGCGATTAGGACAGATGAACCAGCGTGGACGCGGTGGCCCGTCCAGGAGTCCTCGGAATACTAAACTGAGATAACTTATTTGCATGAAATTTTCTGACAGCAACTCCTGCTACTGTCATTGCTTCAGGTCCGAGTGACAATAAGATGGAGATCGCTCTTGGTGTATTCTTGGAGCATGAGAGGTGCAACGACGAGAGAGAATGAGGCGATTATACTAAAAGGATAACAAACAAAGTCCTTGCGTTCGACTGCCTCTACAAGGACAATGGAAACAAAGCCAGTACCGCTGCTCAACGTAAATGTTATTTATCAAGAAGAAGGAACACGGGCAACCAGTCTTGACAATACAAAGACAGCAAGTTCATGTGGACACCGTGGGAGGTGGTGGGGAGGGGCGTGTTGGGTAGGGGAACAAGGCTAAAAATGAGCAGAAATGGAAGAAATTGGAGGGCTGGGGGGGGGGGAGGGAGAGAAGGGCAGAGGAACGCCTGATGGTAAGCAACAGCCAGTGTTGGTTTGTCCAGACAGGCATAAGCACGCATAAACTCGAGGCTGCAAATGGCGAGGCAGAAAGAAATATGAAAGACAGGTGGCTGCAGGACGATGCGACATCATCATTATTGGCGAAACATGCAGGTACATAGGGCAACGTTCTCTGAAGCAGAATACCCTGAAGTAAGAAAGTGAAAGAAAGCACCTCAAGAGAGCAGCTAGCAATCGCAACTGGCAAAAAAGGTGAGGAAGTAGGGGCGGGGGGTGGTTGGGCCTGAAGCGATTGCTGTTATTATGTGCGCGTGATGGACCCAGACCAATTGAAAGGCCAGTATGAGCCGCGAGCAGGATAGAACATAGGCGCAGGGCGGATTATGCGCGGTGTGGTGGGGTGGGCGGGGGAACGATGGTTCGCCGGAAATGCACACTCGTCCGAATACCTGGATAGGTGTATAACAGGCAGGGATAGGGTGTAAAAACTGCAACTTTCTATAAAAGAAAACGGAGTAGTAAGTTGAGCTGTTTCGAGGATGTTTTGGCGGTGTTCTCGCGATATGTCCCTGTTCAAGCGTGTGCCAATGGATGCGTGTGAGCAGTTTGGGCAATCGGAGACTACCGGATGGTGTGTGTGTGCATTCAGATGTTGCAAAATGGGGCAGCCAGAAGGTGAGGACAGCAGACGTTGGCGTCTGACCCGAACTGTATGAATGTCTTAATCTTCTCCCTCTTTCTCTTTTTCCCAAAAACACACAAATTTTAGTTGCATTATCATAACCAACCAGACAAAGTCAACTAAAAACATACCAATTGAAATATAAAATCACAGATAGAAAGACGTTCGATGATAGTAGAGGGGGCAGCAGTAGTAACAATAATAACAGTATTACAATGCTAATAACAGCTAGCAGCAATATCAGTTAAGTGAGATAATGGCGGTGGAGGTATGCGCGTAATGGAAAGTCTCAATTGGGATTATAGGCAATTGAGCAAAAATTTAGAAATCCAGGAAGGGGCGGCAGCACAACCAGGATGCCGGCTGATAGGCATACTGCCGAAAGCAGCCATCGTCCTGCCGAAACGGACGTGGCGGCACACTGACAATGGAAGACAGACGTGGGTACATGTTTGGGTAGGAATCATATACCCCATACAGATTCGGTGCTTGCAGCAAGAACAGCAGCACTGGAGCGTTATCTAACAGGAGAAATGAGGCGGAGGTCTTCAAGAAGCTACAGTCTCTCCGGGACGACATGCCATGGCGATAACACGTTCTGTGCCCGGCTGTTTTTGACTGGATGGTTGCTGAGGGTCTGTCGGGACTTCCTCCTCGTCGTCCTCATCATCGTAGACAGCATTCGCATAAGAGGGCAGGTAGAGCCAGGAAGTGGGCTCCGGCTGCGCGATTGCGGCCGAGCACGGTGGTGGGCAGGTCTGGAGGTAATTAATCACACTGGGAGCTGCTGCCAATCCCTTCAGGTAGGGAATCAAGTCAAGCAGGGCGGTATCACAGGGGTCATCGAACCAGGAAACAATTTGCAGCTGAAAAGAGGAACGGCGAGGTCATTAAAATTATCTACCAAGTAGAGAGACCACAGAAAGAGGTTTCAAAAATGGACGGAGAGCAGCATGGTTGGCTGTCATGGCCTTGATGCCATCTAGTGAAGGTTGAAAAATTAACTGGACTTTCGATAACGGTCCTATGACCGACTTGCAGGCAGCTGCTTTGTTTTCGCGTGCAATTGTGTAAGCAATCTCTTTTTCAGTTTTTTTACTTATCGGTGCTTTTTCTTAGACACTTTGTAACCAATAGGGAGTCTAAAAGCATTCTCCTATCTCCCCCTTAATAAAACTCAACTTAAGGTATGCGAACAAGCCAACAATTTTGAGTCCTAAGTCAACTACAAGCGCACCGGGCTTTTGTGTTGTAATGAATATGTAACATTGACAGAAGGAATGCGCTCTGAAAGGGGGACAATGAGTGCAGTGTGTTAAAACACAAGACGCAAGAGTAGATTATGGATAATGGTAATCATTTGGCGGCATTTGTCACATTGTCAGCGCCGAATGGGATCGTTAAGGCCCCCGACCTCTGTTGCACCGGCTGGGTACTTTACCGTCTTTTCCGTCTCTCCTTGACGGAATGGATTGTTTCAGTGGATGATGTCAATTCCTCTTCGTCCCGAAAACATTATTCTATGGCTCGAGGCAACGGTTTCAAAGAGTTCGGTCATTAATTACAGCAACCCGAACTATTCTTGACAAGAGTTCGTAAA